AGAAAAGCCATACCAGCAAGTAGCGACTATGATGGCGCATGCAGATCCCTCAAACACTCGATAATCAGGAGCTTGAAGAAAGACAGAGGACACTGGTGGATCTCGAAGGCCCAGGAGATTGAAAAGGCATTTGCTGCAGGCAACAGCCGCACCCTGCTTCAACTGATTCGATCAACCGATCAGAAGACATGTGTCTGTGAAACAATATGCGAAAAAGACGGAACAGCAATTTACTCCCTCAATCATCGTCTTGAGCGATGGGTTGAATACTTCAAAGAACAGTTCAGCTAGTCTCCTTCAACACAACCGTTGGAAGAACCCACTGAGACTGAATGGAACATCCACAACAGCCCATCACCAACAACCAAAATCCAGCGTGAGATATCAATCCTCAAGCTCTTCAAGGCACCCGGTCCGGATGGTCTATACTCCGCACTCTTCAAAGTAGGTGGTGGGGTCCTGATATACAGTCTGACGACCATACTGCAGGAGATCTGGAACGAAAACGGAATCCCGGCTGAATGGAGCTGCTCCACTGACATCCCATTTTTCAAAAAGGGCACAAGAATCTCATTTGAAAACATGGGCAGCTGTATAAGTCCCGGTGGACTGGCTGGAGATGAGATTATTTCTCGAATCGGAAAAACTAGGGCAGCTTCTGCGAAAATCCGACGCCTATGGCGCCGACGTGACATCAGTTTGTCTGTCAAGGGCAGAGTTCACACCACATTGGTGCGATCCACATTGCTATGTGGATCAGAAGCGTGACACTACGCGCAGAGGACATACGTAAGATGTCAGCGTTTGACAATCGGTGTCTCCGAAGCATTGGTCAGGTCTGGTAGGATCATCGCATTAGTAATGCTGAGGTATGCCAAATGGTCTTAGGAAGAAGAAAGTCTTCCGTGCTAGATGAATTACTCACGCTTCATAGGTTACATTGGTTGGGTCATGTACTCCACATGCCAGAAGATTGTCTGCCTCACAGAGCTCACTCGCTCAGCCGTGTGCTGAGTGGGAGCAACTGAGAGATGGACGGTATATGACCTGACAACAAAGTACCAAAACACTAACCAGTAAACTTAGTCGGACTAGCAACTTCTGGTTCTCTGGATGGAGACATCGGGACTTAACTCACCAATGGTTAATAACATTGGCAGAAGTGGCACAGTTGCCTAGTCAATGGCGCTCGTTCATCAGAGCTATCGCACTCAATACGTGGCTATCCAGTTCCCGAACTGTCCTTATGTGCCATCGCCTCAAAGGCTTGGCCCTATCTCCCGCACTCTCCTACATTTCGTTGATCGGAACTGTAGCAGCTGGAACCAATGTGCTTATCGTACACGGTTTATAGCTGAAAAATTGGAATTGTATTCGAAATCAGTCTGACTCGTCAGTCCACCGGAATGGAGAAGACAAACAACTTTGAGACAGTTTCTCTGCAGACAAGTGGACCGTTCCCTGATATGGAATTTAACTGAACCAGGACATACAAAGAGCTGACGGTTTAATAGGGTGTCAGTGAGATACACTAGACGAATTTTTAGTAAGGTGGATGTGTTCGTTTGGAGGCAGTCTTAACATTCCTATTCGGTGCCTGACGACGGCAAACGATAGCAGGAAGCGACATTCCGGCCTAGAAGGGACTGTTTGGACTACATTTCTACAGTCTGTCATACGTATGGGCTCCCCACGATCCTGGTGTTCCTTGACTTCAGGTGCGAGTTCGATTCTCTGGACCGATCGGGCCTTCACAACATGCCTGTGCAACAGGGTATGCTTCAGAATTCCGTGAATATCGTGCACTGCTTGTATTCACATACTCCGATATTTGAACATGTATAGTATACTCCTAAAGCTTACCTACAAGCAGTGATGTCCGACAAGGGCGTACACTCCCCATTTTCGTCTATTTTCATAGTTGGTGAGATGAGACGAACACTGTCCTTAACTTCGGTGTTTGGCTCACTGAACGAAAACACTCAAGACCTGCAATGTGCGCACAACATAGTTGTCATTTTCTGGCAACTTTGTTATTGATGTGCTGCCCGAAATTCCTCTGTGCTCCGACTACTTGATGAGCCAAAAAAGTGGCGAAACGGGTCGTGGGCTGTCGAGCTTTCTGTCAAGAAGAGATTGGACCTTGCGGTGGTGTAACGTTCTGTGTGCCTCCATGGCCCACTGAGCCATACTATATTGTTAGCGTGACACTCATAGTGTCTCATAACATGTTTGTTAGTGGTCTGATCGAGACAGTTTCCTGACCATCCAGCTTGTGATGACTTGATCTTTAAAATGGTAAAGCCCTTGCATTTCTCGGCGAACACCTCTGCCTTGTATAGGGCTTTTAAGCCAGAGGCTTTGGTCTCCTCTGTAGGCCTGGATACCCTGGCAGTATTCAAGCCCACGTCCAACCATGTAACCTGCAACTCAATACTGTCATCTTACATCGGCGGTAGTGTAGTGCCATATCCGGGTAGCCTAACTTGCTGTAAAAAGTACGGCGGGTAAGCGAAAACCGGCCACTTCTAGCGCCTTCATTCCTATGCTTTGACGGGCTACAAGGTCAGCCTCGTTATGGTTGCTGGTGACATGAATTCTCAGGTAGGTAGTTTAACGCTGCGGAAACCCAATTGAGTAATCTTCTTGGATTGGACACAAGATGCGCGGACAACAAAGAGCGACTGCTTCCCGTGCGTGTCGATTACAGACTTCCTTTGCAGTACCATTTTCCGGAACAGTGGAAGTCGCTTGATCCATCAACCAACCAGCCCCGAATCCAGATAGACCACGTCGCCGTAAGTTACCGGTATTCGGGATCGATCATTGCCTTCCGCTCATTCTGGAATCTCAGCGTGGACTCTGACCACGCAATTGCCCGTCGTTGTTTTTCATTGCACTTCTCAAGTCTACGCGAAACTCGCACTCCTCGCTTAGTCGCTGAGAAGTTGATGGACCTAGAAATCAAACTAAATTACCAGAACCGGCCCATTGAGCGTTTGCTTAACAGTCCGACATAGTATATTAACGACCAAAGCGCTAATGAACGCCGGAATTTCTGTGTGTGGTATAACCCAACCCATCTTATCGTAGCACTAGATTACTGATAAGTTTATGGCTTTGTTGGAGGCCCGACGACAGATTCCTTCAGGTCGCCTTTTAGGGTGGGACTCACGGGACCCTCTTTGTACTTGTTTGGAGATGGTGAACGACATGACAATGGCCGGTGCCAGTGGCGCTCATTCTGCCAGGCTCTGACTGAGTGTTGGAAGGTTAGTTACCTCAGATGTTTGTTGTAGGCTAGTCCTAGTCTCCTCTCCGTGTCCATTCTTTTCTTGTATCGTAGGACTTCATTCGAACAAATCAACACGGTCGTGTCGCATCGAAGCACTGATGTTCTCATCTGCTGTTGCTGTCAATGATGATAAGAATGGGGTCCACGAGCTCCTCTGGGTGGAACGATATCAATAATGTTGTCGTCGGTTATGATGATGATGATGGGTAGGACAATAGGGTGGCTTTTTTACTTCGTATGCCAAAGCATGGAAGCCTCGTTTCAAACCAATAGGTGACTTACCCTCAGTACTCGTGAATACTTCGTATTTTGACACTTTGTCCCCTGACGTCCAGGAAAGTATGTTGTGTAGCGTCTAAGTTCAAGTGTTCCAGCTGAAACACTGGACAGACACTGACTATGTTGATTGTCGTGAATACTCACACACTAACTCACTGATTTAAGCTATACAAAGGGACGTAGATGAGGCGACGACCTCATATTTGCACGGTTCTAGTTCGAGGGCCTTTGCTGACTCTCTGTCGTTTGCACAACCTAATACAACAGGATTAATGTGGAGAGCCGCTGAACAGAATCATCACCATACACTGGATTATGATGATCTCATCCACCCAATCCGCCTTAGTCCTTTTTAAGAGCTTGCCGTTTCTGGTTCGAAAACAAGGTTTAGCAGGCTCCTTTGGACGGAGCATGAGGTGAACATTCAACCCCGCTACGGCACTTTTTGGGAGACCTTTACTAAATGTAATCGACAAGTTTCTGAACATAGGATACGTTGTAGCAGGTCTCTCAAGAGCACCTTATTTTGGTGCAAAAGATGAAGTTATTAGGTCCCCAGGATACTCATCGCTGAACATGCCGAGGCATTTGAGGGCTCCGATTCCCGCGACCCCCATCAGGTTGCAATCCTCTGTTGCCACGCAGCTCTCCCTTATTTCTTTTCCATATTTGCCCAACTTACTACAGTCGTCATATTTTCAGGGTTCGCATTCGTATTAACCAGTACATTCGTTACGCCTCTTTATGTTTTATTACCCGTTCTCCATGTCTTCTAAGGGTTTGAATGTTTTCGAGGTGTTGTTACGTTTTTATCATGCTCACAACGATCTCTCTCGCTATTATGATTCACTACATGAGTGATATTCAAGTAGTGACGGTGCCGCCGTTAAGCGCTAGAGGTCGTGAGCCCAGCACCACCTTGGTTACCGGTTTCCCGGTACTTCACCCAGCCCTGGTGTTTCTTTAAAAATGTGGCTAAAGTGTTCAGCAAGCACTTCAACCGTAACTTTGTTGAGAGGGCTAATGACGCGATCGGCTCCTGATGGACACACTTTGGTGGCCAAATAATACTCTTTTTCATTCACTCCGCTGAAGAACTACGTGGACATCATTGACCGATCTCCACCGCATCAATTCAATTATCCGCTAAGTACTGTTGATATGCATCGAAAAATCGGATGGCCGTTTATATTTTCCATGAACTTGAGTGTGAAGTTGACCGACAGTGCTACTGGAGTCTCCAAAAACCAGTGCATTAGGTTTTGTTCACTTCCGTAAGTCACAGTTATCAAATTTGACGTTATGCGAAAAATTATTTCATCTGGGTTTTATTTGTTGGTCGCTTTTGGTGAAAAAGACAACTCGTTTTTGTGTGGTTTTGCCCTTTTGGTCTTACGCTGCTCTTATCTCTTGTGATCGTTTTTAGGCTCATCAAGTACCGCCGGCAGGATTATCTAAAGACTGTTTATTTGGATACACCACTGATGACGGTGAATGGTGCTTTTGCGCAGATTCACCAGACGATGCGGTTGCCTGGCGGTTGGCTCTCATCGAGGCTAGAAGTGTTGGACGTGTCCACGGTGTTCACATAGCGCCGACCGCCACATATGGGGGTTATACCGACGGTTCCAACTATTATCAACACTCTGCGTATCCAGAAACCACAGTACCACTGTACTGCAACTCGTCTCATCCAGCAGGCATCCCTTCTCTCCCAGTGAGTTGCACAAAAATAAAACCGCCGTTCGAAGCGCTGATTCTGGTTCCCGGCATCCAACAGATTATATATATATATATATATATATACTTTAAGAATCTTGACTTCAAGTATTAGGTTAGTAAGGCCATGAAAGGCTACGAAATCACTGAATGAAAATAGACCGGGAAACTTAGATTACGTTCTGGTAGATTTTGGCACCGAATTCATGTTGATTGTTTCATCCCAACGTGCTTAGTAAACAGTGAGGGCACAGAACCATCGGATCGAATACGTTTCTCAGATTCAAGCTCCCATTTACAAAGCGATACTGATGGATAAGTCTCCATGGTTCGCGGACTTTGGATCTAAACAACTCCATTTGACCCAAACGTGTAGTTTAAAGGGTAATACACCCAACATGAGGTTTGAGATATATGCACGCATACGTGCGCATACACTCGTACGAGATGTCCACTTTACAGTATGGAACAGCAAGTCTGATTCAGATTACGGGTGAACAGTCACCATCAGGTCGTTAATTCATTTCAATGGTTTGAATGTGTTTATGTTAGTATGTTTGTGTTTTATATGAATCAGAAAACGCGGGCAACAGAATGCCAATCTATTACGGCCAAATTCACAGACAGACGCTGGATCGCCTCCACGCCCCCTAAAGCGACTATTTTGGATGGCACCATCGACAGCCACTATGGAAGGGGTGATTATCGGCAAAATAACTGGGTAATGCCACATGACAACACTGTCT